TTTTTTATGAATTTAACTGAAAATTTTACGTGTTTTGTGAGTAAATAGCGAAGTTTGGGTACTAAATATATAAACCAGAGAGTTTTGAACCCAACGGCCCATTTTCCCTATTTCAAACAAAACCCGTAAAAATTGCGGACAGGCGTACACAGAAAGCGCGACGCGGCCTCCGTTCCATTCAAAAACTAGCAAGTTAGCTCCCCTCCCTGCCTTTGAAACCGCATGCTCTGTACAAAATATCTAGAAATAGAAGCTTTCCCCTCCCAATATAAACAAAGTAACACATCCTCGTTCAGAAGCCCTCTCCATCACCAGCTCCCTTTAACAATTCAGGAGAGGCAAAGGAAGCACTTCGCCATGGCCAAGCTCCAGCTTTTCCCCATCTTGGCTGCCTTCTGCCTCTTCGTCGGCGTCGCCGTCGCCACCGATGTCCATTTCGAAGTGCAGGGCCGTGTCTATTGTGACAATTGTCGTGCCGGCTTCGTCACCAATATCACCGAGTATATTGAAGGTTTTCCATCTACTATCATTGAGATAATATTACATGTATTATCCACATGTGCGGATTGATGAAATTGAAGTGAATATCACCACAATATCTTTCCAATGCAATCAATCTGCTGCATCTATATGATTCTGTCATGTCTGCATTGTCATGTCCGCATGTAATATTTTAACTTTATCATAAATTAATTATTAGATAGATGATAAGCAATAAATAGCTATATATGTAATTATCCTAAAAAAATTGTAATTAGATATTTTATGTAAATTATATCAGGCTAGATTTGCTTAAAAATTAGTATTGTATATGAAAATTTTATATTTCACTAATCTCTTAAGTATATCTTAATGTTATTTTTTTTCAATTTTGATTTATAAAATATTTACAATGCCATTTCGCTATATATATATTATAATTGATAAAGCCACTATTATTATTATTATTACTTTTATTATTATTTAATTATAGCAAGATTAAATCTCTAAATTTGAATTTAACTTGATGTGAGAAATAGATTTGCAGAAAACAAGATTGAAATTAAAAACCTTGTCTCATAAAAATGAATTAACAGTGAGACATCTATTCAAAATGATAAATATAACATCATTTTTTAATCAAAATTCAATACAATTTCTGAACAAATGCACACTACAATTTACTTAGACTATAAGATAATATAATACTCAACATCATTATCTATCAGAGATTTCTTACATAAATTTTTTTGAGGCATTTACAGGCGCGACGGTGAGGTTGGAATGCAAACACTTTCAGAACGATGCGGTGGAACACAGCATTGAGGCCGTCAGCGGCGCCGACGGTTATTATACATTCATTGTTCCCAATGATCACGAGGAGGAAATTTGTTATGTGAAGCTGATTAAGAGCCCGAGGGCTGATTGCGCTGAGTTCGTTGAGAACAGAGAGCAGGCGCGCATTCTGCTTACCGAAAACAGCGGTCAGGCCAACAACTTGCGTTATGCTAATGCGTTGGGCTTTCTCAAAGATGTCGCACTTCCAGTATGCCCCGAGCTGCTCAAGGCCTACGAAACTGATGATGATTTTTAAATAATTAAAATGGAGATATATGATGATTTATTTATATGTTTTTTGGTTTCATGGAAGTTTTTATAAGAATATAAGTGATTGATTCAAGGAACAATTCATGGGGGTATGAGTATATTGGGAATGGGTTGTTGATGAAGTTGCAATTTCTATTTATTGTGAAAGATTGTTTTGTGTTTTTTCTTTCCTTTTTCCTATGCAAAGTTCGGAATAAATTTATTATTTTTTGTCCATGTAATGCAACTCTCAAATAAGTTGTGAAAAATAGGGCATAGAACTTTTCATGAAGCCTGATTTGTAGCCCTCAATACATAACAAATGAACATATATGACTATTCATTAAACTTTTTTGCAAGGCCAAATGTT